TTGTGAGTTTCAATTGTTATGACACTTATGACATTAGGAAGCACGAAGTCGGACAATATTGTCGTTGTCAAACGTTAACTGTGAAAAGTTAAAAAATTCAGAAATCGCAAAAGACAAGACACGAAGATTGAAAATTTTGCTTGTAAATTTCATATAATGAAACCATTCAAAGCGGATACAGCGTCACGTTTCGATTTGCACCTTTTAAAGGGGTGCTATCTTCCGCCTAACTGGCCGTCATTTTTAATTGGGTAAAGCTTGCGTCGAAATATAAGAATTTCGAATGCGAGAGGAAACGGATGTGTCGGTGTCGCCCTTATAATAATTCTATTTTTTATTCACGTCGCGGCTAGATAAAATTCTTTTCATCTTTTCCATGGCAACTTTAACGTTTAATAATCTGTCTTATATACGTCGCTAGCAGGTATCTTGAAAATTGCTTTTGATGTTAGGTTCATTACGTTGTACTATGTAAATTGTAAAGGAATGTATGTAATCATCATTAAGATTTAGACGCTTACCTGCGACATTCGGAGTTTAAAAAATTGCTATGGTTACCTACGTTGTGCCTACGTTACAAAAAAGTGCACGTGAAATAACTTAAGGCGTCAAGTATCGATGTCGGTTCTGAAAACGATACCACATGACTTATTTCGCTATTTTCAGATGTCAAAACAATTTGTTATTTCATTTTGTACCTTATGATTCTGTTTACAGTGGCTTGTTACACGGTTATGGCTTGTAAAACGATAAAGTTGATGTTTTGTGGATATCGTGTGACAAACGTCACTACGTACGTTTTCATGTATGACATTTCTAAAATAGCACTTACCATTTCCTGGTGTATCATGTAATATGTATGTTGTGGTATAACCTCTCAGATGAAGACGTGTTTTAAAATTCCAACGTTTATATACGAGTATATGCTAAATAAATCAGTTATGATTAAATATTTACTTCCTTTCAATAGAGATTTCAGTAAACGTAACCCTAAATAAATTATGAATTGTGACAAAAGCATGTCGATGTTATTATTCTTACTGAAATCACAAAGCTATGTTATGAACATGCCCCACGAGAGAGTATCAGCTATAATTACGAATCCCAATACAAGACCACCAAAGTAAAAGATTACATGGATTTAAAATCCATTGTTTCTTAAACTCGTATTACAAAGGTTATGATTAGGCGACATGCGATTGCTAAACAACATAGAACTAACCACGGTATAAACCGATAACCTTTTTCGGCAGGTATGTTGAAGTGTTGGGCACAACATATCTATTAATTTCAATCCAGTGGTTTTACTAAAAAAAAACACTCCATAAGCAACGTTATCCTTTTTATTTGATGTTCTATAGCTTTTTGAATGCTTGGAGCGAGGCCAAACAGATTTTTTGGCGTGGGTGTCTTTGGGATAGCTTTGGCTGTCTGACCATGCTGGGTGCCAGCTATTGGAGCTATTGGGTCGAGAGTAATCGTTTACTAAAATAAGGCTAGGTCATTCACCTAAGCTTACCCAGCTTCGACATAATATTGATATATTCCATTACACAATAATGGTGACTATTGTTGCAGTGTCTTATCTACCCTATCTGCGTTGTGTAGGATACGAAGTTCTCGCTAAGTCCCTTCTCGAAATAATAAAGTCACAGCTTATCGTTGCTGAATGTCTGTACAATTTAAAGTTAAAACAATAAGGTATTATTTATACCTAATGATCCACGGACCGATAATAAGGAATAAAAATATTGCTGAATTTGTTTCCGAAAGTCGTATTTCATACAAAGTAGGTACCTATGTTTCTTTTTCGCATCATGATTATTTTTGTGATCGTCGAATTTATTCTGTTATTATTGTACGTAGTTGCTGGTGTCTTACGAATAGCTACGTGTAATGAATTCATATTTCTAAAAGTGTTAGCAGTTTTACGACTGCTATTATTTATAATTATGTTTGGTTGTTCTGAGTATTTGTACACTCGGTGCCTCTGAACGGGGAACACGTCTGCATTATAGGATAGGTGATATTACAGCGCCAAGAACAAAAAACCTTAAGGTTGGTAGTAAGTAGTTACTATAAGGTGGTGACGTGATAATGATCGCAATATATTTCTTCTTCACGATGTTTTCCTTCACCGAAATGATCGTGGTAAATTTCAAATTAGTAAATGTTGCGGGTAAATTCGAAAAACTCAGAGGTGCGAGCACGGATTCGAGGCCACGGCCGCTGACTAAGAGGCGTTAGATGAAACATTAGGCTATGACGGTTTTATTTAAATTATATGTTACTAATAATGTCATGTTAAGTTAATATTCTCAATAATCTATAGGAATAGGTATAGGTTTCAGCCAGCTCCCGAAAACGCAAGAAGATATAAAAACTGGTATGCGATCCCTACAATAGGTACTATATCCACTAATTCTCCAAAAATGCAAACTACATGCATATCGCTATGATATTTCTCACGAGTCGCCAAAGACAATGTATTGTTTTTAAAAATAGGGATTTTTACAGATCAATTTTTTTGACCCAAGGGTACAATCCCCTCCATCTGCTCACCACGTGCGGCCGCTGCAGCGACCTTAAGGCGTTTGCAAATGAAACTAGTGATGTGAAACAAGAAAACCACGATTAAATTAAACCTAAGTATTTTATTAGGACTAAATATTGCTTACCGACATATTCCGCTATAGAAACTCTTTGTTTAACTAATTTTAGAGCACAGTCCTTTTACTCAACAATGGTATTAGAGATCATATAGATAGGTAGGTATTATAGAAATGTTAATTAAATCTACATTTTACGACGCCATTCTTTGACAGTTGCGTTGTAATCTAACAACAAAATCATGAATTTTTATTCGTCGAAAAGGGTATTAATGTTGTATAGTAAAACATCTATTAATATAGGAAATATCGATATCGATAAAACAAAGCGCAGTCTGTGCTCAACCATAACTCACAGGCTACAAATCTTGATGGTCATTAAAGTTTCAACTGCGTCCACTTTCCAAATAAAGCAGTATAACTTTGTTCAAGTGACTTAGCAAAATATTTTTAAGTAAGATTCTGAACGTGTTTATTTAATTTTAAATCCTTCTTCAATTGTGATTATATTTTAATGTTACCATATATGATTAGAAATCCTCGATTGGGTAGAAAAGGACAGTAATTGTGTAGGTATTTTGGATAGTTTTTTTTTTATAATAATAACGCACACACGCAACATCGCCCCGCACTAGGGAAACGCTGTGTCGCGGGTGCCATGGACACAGACATAGACACTCACAAATTACACGTAAACTCACAAGATAAATAAATATAGACCATAAAAATATTTCGCCCGGTCCGGGAATCCAACCTGAGACCTCTGCGTGGAAGTCCGGCATGGTAACCGTCCGGGCTCGGAGGCAATTAATGATGATTTACTTGATAGAGTTTGTAACACCTAAATAATACTAATTTATTTTGTGTATAGGTATAGGTACAAATAGATAAAGAATGCGGAATCTTAATTACAAAATTTATAATCAAACGTCAAAATGATTTGGAATTATTTGAATTCCAATAAATCCAAATAATTCCAAATTATTCAAAATCTACGTGACATTTTAGGGACATAAAAATTTTGTGGAGTTCCATGTGCAGCACGTATTATGAGGCAATATAAATACTCAAGAGTACCTACGTCTTTACGCTAAATTAGTAAGACGTTTAGTACTTATACATGCTTACGTATACCAAAAAAATTATATAGGTACTTCATGATTCACATTTCGTTACTAACCACCCTGTTTCTAAATTTATATAAACCAGCAGTCAATAATTTTAAAGTTCAGAGAGTACCTATTGACGCGGCATTGTTAAAAGCCACAGCTCAACTGGAATACCAAAGCCAAAAGGGCCACTAAGAATATAATAGTGACTTTAAATTAGCAGTATTTCTATAAGGTTCAATAAAAACAGCAAAACTTTCAATGTAAGAAACTGAATTCCCAGTTTATTTTAACAAAATTCGCATAATATTACGTATGGTAAAGCTGACTAGATTAAAATCACAGTTGTATCCTAAAATAGCAAGCGGAGTTCGCAACCGGGCACCTGAAGGCAATAAATAAATAGGTGCGCTCGTATGGAACTTTAAAACTCTGAGTCTCTGACATCTCGTTCTTTACATCTTTTGGATAGGGGTTTAAATATAGACTTTAAAATTATCTAAATACGAGTGTTTAAGTACGGAATGTCATTAACACATTATTTTGGCAAACCGCTAAATAGCATTGATCATTTTTGAACTGTTTCCTAATTCGCATGTTTTAGATTTCCATTCGGTCTTCTTATAAATAAAAATCATTTATTTCCGGCGATAATGACCCAAAGCAAAAAAAAATACATTACAATTAAAATAAATAAATGTTAAAAAATTAATATAATCCGAATAGAAACAAATAAAAAATCATAAAAATTAAAATACAATAAAATAGAACAAAACCGAAATAAAATGAAATAAAAAAGTCAAAATTAAAATTAAAATTTCAGGTACTAACATACAATTAAATAAATAAATTTGTTGTTTACTGATGTCTAAATCGATTGCCGCCTTACCGGGCACCATAGCGGTCATGCTCATTATATAGGGGCAAGATATAGCCTTCCAGCTGTCATAGCCAGGATGATATTGGGGCGACCCACACTCTGTGCACCAGTGATGTGTGCGCATGATGCGCATCATTGTGTGGAAGCAGTCAGTGCAAGCCACCGCCAACATACCCGAGGCGCATTGTAGTTTTTGTTACGTCAGTTTGGTACTAGAAATACACTGTGATAATAAAAATGAAGTAATAGTAATTACGTCTTTTTGTATTCATTACTTATGAAATTTGTTTATATTATTTTATTAAATAATTAATAGTCTTTACATTACATGATAAATTGAGTACTCCTAAATATCTCCAAACTTTATGCAATGGTTTGTATATTTCTTGATTTTGGTTTCAGACGACACCCGTGCAGTAATAAAGGCTTCAACTAACGAGCGAATAAAGCTGATATGTGGACTGAAACCGAAAAATCAAATTCAACCTGTCCGATGGTACAAAGACGGTCAACTGCTGAATGGCCAATCTAAAGTCAAACCTTCAATGAAAATGATATGGTAATGGATAAATGGATTTTGACTTTATCTACTGATCAAGTTTATGATCAAATTATTATTTATTTTTAAAAAATATTGCAGCTAAAATGTCAACACCAAGTAAAACTTGTACCGCAATCGTATCGTTAACTTCACACATAAGTGTGAAATTGTATATTCAGAAGTTAATATAAAATAAAGAGAAAAAAAAAGATATTCCACAATATAAAATAAGTTAATATAAAATAAAGATCTGCATTTTACGTCAAAGTTTAGATAACCAAATCGAAAAGCGCCTAATAATGCATGTGTGACGAGAGTTGTGTGATTCTATTCGGGACATGAAAACAAGCTGTCAATCGCATATCTCAAATCAAGTGTCTCTAAAATCAAAACAAATTAGGAACGCTACTAGTCATCAAATTTCAAACAAAGAGTTAAACTTAAAAAAAATAAATGCCTAGTCGGCACGTTTTGCTTATATTACAATAGAGACACTTATACATTTTTATGATAATAATTTCAGGCAAATACGAGGATTCCAAGCAGTGGACGCCGGAGTTTATGCATGTCGAGCCGGTGATGACAATGGTCAAGAATTCAGCGTCACTATTAATCATATTGATCCTGAATTAGCAGGTACTTACATGTTATTTTTATAGTAGGTATAATTTAAGTGCTACATACAAATAAATGCAATGACATTCCAGTATACGTATTCAAACAAAAACTTGTCGTCCATTATATACGCAGAAGTATCTCGCTCTACACTTGCCTAACTTGTTTAATGCTGTATTGCATTTGTATGTATATAAGGGAGAAGCACCACATCTCGGATAATTGCCTAATTTCGGACAGTGGAATATCTTTTTTTTCTATAGTGCCATCTATTTTTTATTTCATATTTTAATAGCCAACTATAAAGTGGCGCCAATGTAAAAAAAATCCGCTGACTAGTTTAGAAAATGGCAGAACAGTCAGACGTTACGTCACTTTTTTCTAAACCATATTATTATTCTATGATAAAGTGTTGTTTTCGTCGGGGTAAATACAAATTATCATTACAAATGCTATGTTTTATAAAATCTAGCATCTATTAATACAAATAAAGGGATAATAATTTTCAAACCGATAATGTTTACTAAGTTGTAGTAAGTTTTTTTTTGGCTTTATGAAATCTTAATTACGGATACCTACGCGAACCTTATTAGAATAGGTACTTTTTTAAATGAGAACTTCAAAGCTTTTCATACATGCAATTAATATATTTTTTCATGTTCTATAAAAAAATGTAATATATATAAATTAATATCGAGTGCTTAGGTTAATATATAAATTTAAAAAAGTTTTTTTATGTTTGAGTTTATTTTTTTTTAAGAATGTCAAAGTTCCTTTAGGATCTTTAGTAGATATAGGTCATTATAGTTAATTTTTTTAACCGACTTCAAAAAAGGAGGAGGTTCTCAATTCGACTGTGTTCTTTTTTTTGTATGTATTTAATCGCGATAACTCCGGTATTTGTGAACCGATTTTCATGATTCTTTTTTTGTTGGAAAGGGGGTATTTCCATAGTAGCCACCTCTAAGGGTGGCTGTTCACGCATGAAGATTCATTTTTATAAGTAGCGCCTAACTTTAATTTAGGAGCAATTACTTTTAGCAATTATTTAGTTGATTTTGCTAGTTCTCCAATTCAAGGCGTATTTCCCTCGATATACTTTGAGTAGTGTCGTAATGAGAACCTATTTTTATTATCTCCAGTATCAAGTCCTGTATAGTGGCGAACTAGGGGATATTTCAATGAAACTTAGCAAATAGACGTAATTCCACTTACTTTTGAGGTCGGTTTTTTTTTATGTTTAAGTTCCTAATTACCCAATCAAAAATTGATTACAAATCTGATTATTGCTAATAAATACAAATTAACAAATTATTTGATTAGTTTCATATATTATAATTATTGTTACCTAATATCGTATTCACAAAAAAATATTTATATATAGGAACCGTAAAACCAGATAGCTGGTCGTAGGCAACCTTTAGAAATTCATTGATTTTCGCTTTTTTTATAAAACGTAGGTACTGTAACTTAAAATATTTAATTAGAATATGAAGAATTGTGTTATTTTTAATAGATATCAAAATAAAGACTACTTTAAGGTTACTTTTAGAGTTCTTATGCGTTGACTAGTATTTTTTAAAACTTTCAAATAAAAGTATCCGATATTTGGTGCTTCTACCCTATGCGAAAACCATTTTCATGAATATAGAATGCACCAAGCGTTGGCGTTATAGTAGAGTTGTTCGAAATATACATGTCATTTCCTTTTCTTATTATTACAAACCTTTCTTCAAAGCGAGATGCACGAGTGAAGTAATAGGTACTGTAAACTAAATTGCTTAAGAGTCAAAAAGACTCAGTGCAAAAACAATTTAGTATAATAATAATATTACCTACATATCCAAATTTCAGAATACCAATCTGATGCCGAAGCACAAAAGGTGATGTCTGAAACGTTATCGCATCAAAAAGCAGCTTCACTTAGTAAAATGACACCGCCTTTACAAAATAATACAATGAAGCTACTTGAGAAAGATCCTTATTACATTACCACAAAAGAAGACGAAGAAGACGAAAACAATGAAAACCATTCCGATGCTAAACACACAGATAATCGAACTGTTGATAAGTTTCCTCCGAGATGGAAGAATCCTTCAAGAATGTTTGTTATGGAAATGAAACCTGCTGGTAACTCCGTTAAACTGAAGTGTGTTCCAGATGGTAAGTGTACATTAAAACAAACATTAAATCCAATTATTAGTTGTAACGTGGTAAAAAAAAACAAAGATAGTTTACTGTTGCAAACACAAGCTAACAATCCCTTCTTTCTCACCTTAGCTCGTCAGCTAAAATAAGATTTTACGTTCCTAAATATGAACGCATGGCCTGTAAACAACTGGGAATAACTAAAAGCATTTTTATTATGTCGTAAACTTTTGCAGGGAATCCTACGCCGAATATAACTTGGTACAAAAATAATGGTCAACCTATTGTGAGAACTTACTCTTCTCCAGTGTTTGGAAAATGGGCTATGGTTCTTGAAGAGCTGACAAAAACTGACAACGGGAATTACACATGTGTTGTGTGCAATGAACTAGGCTGTATTAATCATACTATAGAGTTGACTGTACAAGGTAAGTTCTGATGTATTATATCTACCTAAACTAACAAAACATAATCGACTTTTTTAATAGAGATACATAAAAAACAATCGTATTAAATATTATTTTCCAATAACTTTCTTAGAGCGATTCCCATCGCAGCCGTATATAAAGGAGGGATATCCTGGAAATAAAACAGTTTTGACAAATGATACAGTTAAACTGTATTGTCCACCGGTTTCCGATCTCGAACCGCATTTGAGATGGTTCAAACCTACGGCGAATATGTCACTCAAAGACACTGAAGTTGGTTCAAACGACGCGCTGTCAATCGGCGAGGATAACATTGAGGTCAATTAAAATTTCAAATTTGGTGGCGGTTATACCTTCATGTTTACAATTCACTCAATCGAAAGTCAATTGTTGCGGTTTATGGTAGTAAATAATGTAACTAGGCATGGACAAAGTAGTCAAGCCTGGTACAATCTGTTTCGTAAAACGTGTTGTGGAATTAATCAATGCAAAGCGAACTAATTGTACGTCGTTTGTTAAGAAAATATTAATATAAATTTTATTCGTCATGTTGCTGTACAGGTTAAAAGTGCAATTCAAGTCACAAATAACATACATTTAATAATGTGTATTGCTGTTACATTTCGTTATTTATTACTTCACAATCATTTCATATTAAATGGTGGTGGAAATAGGTGACGGATAGGTCCATGTTCCACAGAAATTATTTTCATCTATTTAAGTATACTTTTTGACTAACCATTTATGTGCTTACTAAGTTATTATAAGGCGAACATTACAGCATATTATTACTAAAACTATATTTTTCTAATGTTTATAGAACGTCTATACTCGAAGCCAGTGACCACCCAAGGTGCGAGCAACTTGACAGTGTTGGTAGGTGACACTGCAAGATTTGGGTGCAAATTTCTTACTGACATGCATCCTTATATTTACTGGATGTATTTTGGCAAAGACGAAATTATATACCATGAGCCTAGCGATAATAAAGAAAAGGAGTGGGTGGTTTACAACGATAGTACCAGAGTAGTGATGGTGAGGGTATAGTGACTAATGCATGTGCGTGTAAACTAGATTGAGGAGAATCTTTGCATGAGAATCTGCATGTTAAATGCCTGAAATCTGCTATTACTCTTGTCACCGCACCGATGTTGGGTTTTATTTAGCAAATGAAGGATAATTTGTTAAAGGCATGTAACGATCAATCTAGAACTGGAGTCTTGCAAATTTTCCTGGAACTATTTTGTGGCAATGAATCTTTGTTAACCTACAAATACGTTTTAAAGTTGTGTGTCTTGTTTAACAAACTCAATTTTGTTTTAACCGTTTACTTTTATGCGATGTTCTTTATATCCATCTTGTGATTCATTTCGATAGGAAATTATTCTCACTGTCATTTTGCAGAGTCAAAACCCGTTAGATAAACCCGAAACACTGACATTGTACAACGTTACGAAGAAGGACGAAGGGTGGTATGTTTGTGTTGCCATGAATCATCTGGGAAATGCCACAGCTAAAGGTTATCTTTCAGTAGTCGATTGTAAGTATTGAACCGAAAATAACATCCATCCTTCATTTTTCAAAATATTTGGATATGAATGAGGAACAATAGCTACCGTTAGTAAACTTTTGCTTAATTCGTTTTTCATTTTAAAGAAATGTTTCATGTCTTTATATTGTCGAAATCAAAATTCTCTTAAGGTACTGTAGTCTAGGCTCTACTCTATGAGTAGAAGTACTGGCTGAATGAATATAGATTTGTGTTTAGAATGTATACCTATATGAAGGTTTTTGTTAGTATCGTGATAATTAAACAATTGTATTTTTTCAGCATATCCTGTTACAAAACAAGCTGCTCTTGAAAACGGCAAACACGCGTTGCTAATTAATATCTTGACAGCCGTACTAGGAGCCATGTTTTTTGTAGCTGCCATTATAGTAGTGATGATCTTCAAGAAGTTAAAGCGAGAAAAGATCAAAAAGCAGCTCGCTATAGAGACCGCAAGAGCTGTTATCGTTACGCATTGGACAAAGAAAGTCACAGTTGAAAAACCTCAGATCAATGGATCTAATGTGGATGCTAGCGAAGGTTTGGTAAGTATAATGAGTTAAACTCTTCTACTTTCACGTTATTTATGTTGCTTGTAACTAATAAGATTATTGCAGTTGATGCCTGTAGTAAAAATAGAGAAGCAGAAGCTGTCGCAAGTGCAAAGTAATACACCCGATTCGATGATGATGTCAGAATATGAATTACCGGTGGATGTGGATTGGGAGGTGCCAAGGGAGACACTGTCTTTAGGCAAAATCCTAGGAGAGGGAGAATTCGGAAAGGTCGTGAAAGCTGAATGCGTCGGTATTCTGAAACCAGGTGTCCCGTCTGTAGTGGCTGTAAAAATGTTAAAAGGTAGGTACGATATTATTTATTTATTTACGAAACGCTCACAGCGAAATAGACAGATGACAATATGTATTTTTTTTATTTTAGAAGGTCATACGGATGCAGAAATGATGGCATTGGTATCTGAAATGGAAATGATGAAAATGATTGGAAAACACGTAAATATTATAAATTTACTCGGCTGCTGCACGCAAGATGGTCCACTTTATGTCATTGTTGAATATGCACCAAACGGCAATCTTAGAGAATTCCTACGAAATCATAGGGCAGGAAACCGGTAAGCTGTTTAGTTTGTTAAAAGTAATATGCATGAAGTACCTACCTTCATTTATTTTCATTAAGCAAAAATATTGCAAGAATAAATTTTATACTATAAAATTAAAACTCTTGTATTATGTTTAGATACGAATCACCGATACAGGATTTGAAAGACAAAAGAACACTAACACAGAAGGATCTAGTCTCATTTTCGTACCAAGTTGCGAGAGGAATGGAATATTTAGCATCAAGGAGGGTACGTACTTCGTAAGTTAACTGATATTATATCACCGAAAAACGCCTGTCCATATAATATTTTGATGTTTTGTTTTATAGTGCATCCATCGCGACTTGGCTGCAAGAAACGTTCTCGTTTCCGACGATTGCGTCCTCAAAATAGCAGACTTCGGTCTTGCAAAAGACGTTCACAGCAACGATTATTACAGAAAGAAGACTGAAGGCCGCCTGCCCGTTCGGTGGATGGCACCAGAGTCACTTTACCACAAAGTATTCACCACGCAGACGGATGTGTAAGTGCACAATAAAGGGATATAATAAAATGTTTGAACTTAGGTATTGCGCTGTGCTCTGTTTAAACTGTTTTTTTTACATACGTTTTACTCATTCCCTTTTTTTGCTTTATATTTGCTATTGCGAAAGGTCAGGTATGCATTTCATGAATTGTGCTTTGCGAAAGAACAACAGTAAATCCAAAAAGCAACTGTTCGACTAGCACATGCCTAGCGAAGAAATGGTAACTTTTTAAAATGAGCATCATTAGTAAATAGTGACAAATGGAGCGAGCATACTAGTCATTCAGCATTGCACATTATTCCATTAGTTGGTCGTTTGGCGTGCTCCTATGGGAGATCATGACACTCGGCGGCACTCCATACCCAACTGTGCCCGGGCAGTACATGTATCAACATCTGAGCGCAGGACATCGCATGGAGAAGCCACCATGCTGCAGTCTTGAAATGTGAGTAGCTTCTGGAACTTATACGTGAGGGTGAGATGGATTCATGTCTTCTTAAAACTAAAATAAAATATTAAAGGGATTAAAATTGAAAATTTCAATTAAAATAAGTAATTTTATTAATCTGTAACTTGCTATTTGCTTTGTAATCCTGTAATAAACTCTTTAAAATGTAAATCTTACTCTATAACATAAACCGCTTGTATTTTACTAGTATGCTGTGGTAGCCTGTAAGTGCGATATATATAATGATTTTATATTTTGATTGTAAATTATTAGCTATACTCTTTATATGTATTGTGTTGGCTATCCATTTCTGAATAAATAAAATAAATAAATAAAAAAGGAAGTCAAATGCGCACTTACGTTATAAAAAAATGTCATTGTGAAATTAGACTTGTTTAATTTATTTAAAATTATATGATCTTTTAATAATGATATTACTACTTATACAATTATTTATGAATGTTAAATTGCCTACATATAATCCTCTCTATGATAATGACGATGAGATGGTGACCTTAGTTGTTCTTATTTCCAGATACATGCTAATGCGTGAATGTTGGTCTTTCTCGCCTGGTGACAGACCGTCATTTACGGAGCTGGTTGAGGACCTTGATAAAATCCTGACCGTCACGGCGAACCAGGAGTACCTGGACCTTGGACTTCCTCAACTTGACACTCCACCTTCAAGTTATGACGGTTCTGGTGATGAGAGTGATAGTGAATTCCCTTTCATAAAGTGAAGGACAGCGACACCTGATGAATTCTGAAGTATAAATAAAATATTGGAAAGCAACATCTTACTAAGTATATATCTTTTGAAGATCACAGTAGGTAGTGATAATTCATGTCTTGATATTGTAAAAAGTTATTTAGTACCTATTTAATACCTATTAATTTACGATCAAATGAATCTTTTCTAAGTATACACTAATAATACTTAAGTTGGTGTTCGGGATTCTGAATAAGTAGTTTATTTTATTTGTTAGTAAATTTGTGTCATCCCACCTGATTTTTTGCGCTGTTAGTGTACCTACGTAATGCTGAATACTCTATACTATACTCTCAAGTGTATGTATGCTATAGATTGTAAAAAAATTCCTAAGTAGGTAAGTATATAGATCCCTATTTCAGTCTAAGAAGTATATAATATAGATCCTATCTAACTTTACAATATTATAACTAGATTTACTAATAATAAGTCACTTTTTGAAAAGTACTTATTGAAAAATAAGTAGAAAGTTATAAGGAAGGGATATTATAAAATATTTATTTGTCACAATGCAAATAAAAATATTGCATATTATTTTGTTAGTAATAATCTGTATTTTCACAAATGTGTGTACCAAATTTGAAATTCAATATTTGGTAAACGTGACTTTTTAAATATTTTAAAAAAAGGTTATTTAACAATAATTATAACTTTTTATATAAAAATAACCGGCCTCTTAAGTTCGTGGAATTACATCTAAATAGATTTATTAAAATCCGTTACTGGAAAGAAGCGAAACCGGATTCATCAACTAGGGGTAGTTTGCCACCCTTAGAGGTGGAATGTTTGCTTCAAATTTAAATGGGTACACATTGAGGTACCCTCTTTCCAACAAAAAAAGAATAATCAAAATGGACCTATTTTTAATCGCGTAACATACGCACAAAAATTCGGGGTACTGTACATCCTACTTAGGGTTTCTAATTTCTTGACATATTTTTATTTCTCGAGTGTCGAGAATTCTCGTACCCGATTTCTAGAGTTTCTCGACTTGTTGTGTACCCGTTTTGCCCTGCACCTCCCAATTTCAGCCCACGATGTGAATTATTTTAAAGGTGATAGATGCCGAGTTCCTCAAGGTTCCGTACTGTCCGCAACTCTCTTTGACCAATGCAAGGGTTAGTGTAAAAGAAATTCAGTCTTGTTTCGACAAGCCTATGGTTAGTCGTTTGAATTTGACACTTAAGGCAGTCTCCGATTGAGCCGAATGTAACGCTACCAAAATGCAGGCGTAAAATAGCCACTAAACGGAGTCCCCTAGACATGACTCAGACTTTTCGTGATACATGAGGACGCACTATAAGTTTCCAGAATGAAAAAGAAAAAAATACTATAAATGGTCAGAAATTAATTTATTGTTTCTCAAAATATTCTCCGTTAACGTTAATGCCCTTTTTCATACGAATGAACCAATTTTGAAAACATTTATGCCACTCCTCCGTGACAATACCTGAAACAAATTTTTCATACTCTTCGACAGCCTCTTCAGGTGATGAGAATCGTTGTCCCCACATAACCCCTGAGTCTCCCTGGGGTCAGGGGTATCCATAAAGATTTCCCTAAATTTGACGACCCTTCGTTGAATCTGGTAAGCCTGGCATTGCACCAAGTGACGCGATCCGTTTTTTGAGCCTCACTCAAATTGTGTGGGATCCACCGAGAGCACACCTTTTTTCACACCAAATGTTTGTGTAGTATCTCATGCCTATGCCTAAAGACGCCCGGATCTCATGGTATGTCATATGCCTGTCTGTTTAAGACCATACGGCGCACAGTATCGATGTTTTTGTTGTTCACAGCAGTGGACGGGCGACCATCACGAAATTCGTCACTGAGATTCACACGACCGCGTTTGAATTCTGCAAACCAGCTATAAATAGTCTTCTTGCATGGTGCTTCATGGCCCAAAAGCAGTTTGAAGCCGAGCGAAGCTCCGCTGAACTGTTAAATTACACTTAAAGCCGTAGAAAATCATACTACGAAAATTTTCATGCGGTTAATCCATAGATATATGTTAAATCCATGGTGATGTGGACAAACAATTTCTAAAATGACGCCACAATGCAAAAACAAGTGACAGATGAAACAAACTTTACCTACTTACCTGTGGCATGCTAATTTGACTGCGAAGGAAGTGCGCTAGCGCTACTCGTAATCATGGCTTCTTACTTTTGCTTTAATTCAGAGTATATTAAAGTACCCTTTTTGCCCACCACAACCTTTATGCCAGACCTTGCTTCATTATCATTTCAAAATGTTTTGCTATTTATATCTCCCAAAATTTCACTACGAATGTTAGTACTTGGAAGTACATTCCTGCTCCAAGATCTAGTTCTAGACAGACGGACAAACATGACGAAACTACAAGGGCTCGTAGTTTGACAGCGGAAGCCTGAATATCAGGATAGTTTATACATTCAGTTCATGAACCATCATCAAAATTATGGATATTTAGTAATTTTATAGTTAATTTTGTGGTTTTATAGCAAATTACGCGTATATAACAATCGGTATCAAGTTTTAAGAACATTTGCCGCAAACGCACAGAATATTTCAAAAGTCAAATTATTGCACGTTATTCCATTGTTCAGTGCAGAGCTGAAGTATAGACAAATCTGAATATTATAATTCTTTTTTAGGGTTTCGTTAAAATACTGTATGAGGTTTTCTTTGAAATTGGGACCTTCGATTCATTAATTTAATAAAACACATTTTAAGCTTCTCACCAGGTTTATTTTATGATTTGTTTATTTTATTAAGCACTACAAACTCACTTTAGAAGATACATTTTTGGAAACTTCAAGAATTCTTTGTTAACACAATATGGTAAATTTTCGATAATGCTTTTATCAAAATCAACCCGTTGCATACCATTTTTAACTATTTTAAAACACGTTGACCGGTTTTACGACTAATATCAATAATAAAGGTATGTTAGGTAATCAACGGTCTGCATAATTCTCGTCAATATCTACTTGGAAAATACTTGTACATCCTTCATAACACCCTGTATACTAACCGAAACTTAAGACGTTAAAGTAACTTTATGGGATTGTATGACCCATCAATATTTACAACTTTTACTATATTCTTAGATCCATACAAAAAGTAAAAGTTTTCTAAATTTCATCTAAATGATTACAGATTTAAATTTAAAAAGATAGAAACTACGATGTTTCTTTAATTTAAAGTACATATTTTGAAATATATTGAAAATAAGTAACTGTAAAGTGAAAACTTTCAAATAATGTCGTTTTATTATACATCGTAAAGTTATTTTACAGTATTGAATAAAAAATATCAGGAAGCCTGCTGCAACCTGAATGTATGGATGTAGATACGTACAATATGAGTACCTAGGTATATTTTGTATTGCTTAATGCTATTATTCCGTAAAGTTACTGAAACTTCATGATAATGATGATTTCTATGTATAAACGTACAATTACATCATTTATGGTGTTACAAGGATCTTATTAGTGAAAGTAAAATAACAATAAAGCTCGTAATATCTAGTCCAATAGGTCTCTTTTTTCTATGGCCAGCAGTACCTTTACTGTCCATTTACCGTTTTTATTATGTTTTATTTTACAAACTAGATTTCCTTGTAAGTTTAGCTATATTTTCGTTGTGTATTTTTTTAATTAGTTGTGTTATTATTTTGAAAATTCAAAGGCTATTCTCATTATTATTTTGAACATTCAAAGGTTTTTTGAAATAAAAAAAAACAACCAAATTTGAAATATAAATGACTTTAGTTCAAATAAATATGCTTTACAACATTTATGTATAATTAATAGCTAATAATAGCAATTACTTAGTATTTTGAAGCATAAAAAAGCAGCTACCGCAGCTACAGCTAGCCCCGTTTTATCTGTTTATTTAGTTTTTTACTACGAAAGTGTCTCTCCAGAGAACCTCAATAAGTAATTAGATGATTTTTTTCCAATTACATTAAACTTTTATGTCTGTACTTAATTAGTATTATAAATTATATTATGATGTCAACAAATTGTTTGATTTCATATTTAGTAAGTAATATTTTAAATACACCAGATTTAGACTTATGTAAGTAATTTAGAAATTATGTAAATATTGTAGGTATTTTATTATTAGTGAATGATTTTGATGTTTACATTTTTTGTTCTTAGTAGTAGGATAGTGGTATAAAATAATACATTGTATTGTATTATTATGAAAACTAGAAATATAGTTTAAGATTTTATGGCATTTTTTTCTACAAGTTTTAGACAACTTCACATTTAAAATCCTCTTGTTACCATACATTTCCTTCTTGGCACAATAAATTTCAAGGCAGAGTATTAAATTTTTCAAATTTTTTTTTAGATTCAACTACTGCAATGTTTCAAAATAACATGGCATAAAGTATAACAAAAACTAACACTGGCAGGAAAATATAATTTGTTTTTAAGAAACTCAAAAGCCGAAAAGTTGCCAACCACATTTAAAAAAACTTGGAATCTTAACTTAAAGCTCCCAGTTACACGAAAAGAAAGTTTTCGCGTACATTAGTGGCGAATCTGAATTCTATTTATTATGCACCCCGCATTTATTATGCAGGCGGCCCGGCCGCCGTGTAGACCAAATTCAAACCAGGACGCTCATTTAAATTAAAACGTAAAAGCTAAACTAGAGCGTATTTTGCCATGATAGACGCACGCGGTCGCTGCGCGGAGGCAACACGAACTCCGCTCCACGACCGCCCGGCGGCCGCGCGGAGTGAGTGCGATGGAATTCGTGTCGAATAAATACGCCCTAACACGTACTTGTAAGAAAATATTTAAATATGAAATATAATTTGGTATTTTTATCCTGCCTATTGACAGGATTCAAAATAAAAATCGTACAGCAGGAGCCCAAATTCAATGACTTTAAAAATGTATAATAAATTGTAATTTGGCCTTTTCAATGCGAGTGAATAGGCATTATGAAGGTGTGGTTGCTACATGGTCGACCTCATCGTCACTTTCCATCAGGTGAGATGGAGGTGAAATGAGCACTTACACTTTTTATTAAAAAAAATAAAAATTAAAGATAAATTTAAAAATGAACAATGTGATAAAAAATGTAATAAAGATTTAAAGCTATTTCTGTTAAACAAATGTTTTTACTTCTTAGAGGAATATTTTTATGATTAATACTTCTATATCATAAAATTAGTAGAGTAATAATAAGATTAGACTTAAATTAGACTAAAACTTAGCTCTGTCTCTCTCTCCAGACACTGGTACGCCTTTCAGCGTTCCATTATGTTTGATGTACACACGTCAGCACATCAAACTACACATTGACGTATCTTGTTCCATTGCTCTGGAAGCGATTTTCCAACAAAAATGTGTAGTCTGATGTGCCATTGTCCGTACATACGAATCTTGAAGAATATGCAAGAAATAAAAAATTTCAAAACGACCTCATAAACTCGTAAAACTCTATCACAAAGACCCATGTTTATGAACACTAAAATATACGTAGATTTTGATTTAAAAAAAAAACTATGAAAAGTGATACGAAGTACTTCTTAGTATTAAAAATATATACATCTATCATATTCTAGTCTAATGGATTCGCCGTTACCTCTTCAGTGAATTATGTCTGGGAGCACGTAACCGTGGTCAAAGACAACATTATTATACAGGGTGTTAGGACACGGAGCGTAACAGCGTGTATTAAAAAAAAACATACCATTACCAAGACAATGTGGCTAGTACCTGGTCCCTTAACATGGCAGTCACATTTTCACTAAATATTTAATACGGTTTTGTGACGTTTTCTGGATACTTTTTATCTGAATCATCCGAAAATTGTCATATAGAAAAAATACTATACTATCCATTGACTTACAATAAGTCAATGATACTATCATATTTTCTGTTGTCAAACATACATGTGACAAATCATAGTAAAGGGTGACAACACAGACATATATTTAAATAGACGCCGCAAGTGTACCTACTTCGCGTGCCCAATGTAAGGTATATACGCTTAGTTGCCACTGCTAAGCTTCAGAACGCGGCCCGCCGTTAAGGTAAACATCAGTCGAAAACGCAAAAATGCCTAATTGTGCCATTAGAAACTGCAATAACGCCACAGCTTGGAAAGATGAATAAACAGTGACGTTTCCTTCCACAATTAGCTAATTTGCATTTGTATAATTTATTTCAAAATTAATTATATTCATTGTAAATTAATTTCGAGAAAAATAAATATGCAAACGAGTTTATGCCGCGCGATTTAAGTTGCCGACAAAATGAAATAGTGAGAAATAGTAATAAGAGTTTTTTCCCATGTTATACCGTGTTACAAAAAGCGAAACAAGAATGTTATCCTTCTCCAGTATCGTGCAGAGTCACAAGTACTTACGCCGAAACAGATTTACAGCCTTTAGTTGACCATACAGTTAGGCGGTTATCTATTTATCTAGAAGAGGTTTTAACAACATTGAAAGAGCAAGAACGTGAGAGCTTGAAGTTAATTTCAAAGTGGGGTTGTGATGGCTCACATCAATCATTTCATGTTAATGACATTGAAAATCTCATAAAGAAATGCGAAATATACCAATTCGCTGATGATACGTGTCTCCTAGCAGCTCACAAAGATATTAATGAGGCACTACGTTGCTTACAACACGACTTTACGCTGTTAACAAAGTGGTCCCATGACGTCGGTCTAGTCCTTAATAGTAATAAAACTCAGTTGATGTACATAAGCTCGAGTAAAAACAGAGTTGTTACTCCGTTGTCATTAATTGCACACAATCACGCTTGCCTACACACAGATCAAAACGACTGTGTATGCGAGGCCCTAGAACTAGTGAAAACGCAAAGATACCTCGGACTTGTAATCGATGATAGACTTACTTGGAAGGATCATATTAACCACATATGCGACAAGCTGAGGGCTATACTCGCCAAGTTTGCTATTATCCGTAATAAAATACCATTCCAAACACTGTTATCTCTGTATGTTGCTTTGGGTGAATCTATAATTTCTTATGGCCTAAGTAGTTACGGCAGATCATGTAAAACAAATCTTAATTTAATATACCAACTACAATTACGAATATTAAAAACTATAGTTCCATACAAAGTTAAAATAAATCATAAAAATAATTATCACGATCTTTTTCACTATTGCAAAATTTTACCGATACACGAAAAAATTCAATACACCCTATTAGTAGAAAATTTTTTCAACAAAAACTTTCAAAGTGTGGTAAGCCATAATATAATAACCCGAAGTGTAACCAATAACTTGCTTGAAATTCCGAGTTATAATAATCTACATGGCAAAAATCAACTCAACTACCAAATTCCTAAACTGATTAATGCATTGCCACAAGAATTAAAAGTAAACTTAACAACTAGAAACATTAAAACAAAAATTAAATCATATTTTTTAAATAAATAATAATTATATCTAAATTAATTTACTTTGTTTTTCAATAATCAAGTACTTTTATATGCTAAAAATTTCATACCTAAAACGAACGCCCTGTATATGTGATCAGCCTGTTATTATGTCGCTCTTTGGAGGGTACTTTGTTTGTTTACTTGAATCTTCGTTGGTTCACCTTTTTAATAGTGTGATAATTTTAAGTGGGTAGATATTGGATTGTAACTCAATGATGAAAAGTGAATAATATGAGTGAAAATCGCGAAAGTCTTAAACAATGAGAAGTGAATAAGTTTGCTAGTTTTTTGTTACGGGCTCCGTTCAGCGAATTACGGTGCACGGATAAACCCATGCGGGTTTTTGTTGTGCCGCATGTTTTAAATTATATTGTATCTTTTTGTAAAATTATTAATAAATAATAATAATAATAATAATAATAATCGCAATTCAAACAGAAATTCATAAATGATGCCGACTCAGATGCCAACATTTTTCAAAGTTGTTTTGTCCCTTTACGATTAGTTTCTGGCAATGACGATGAAAAACTTATTTGGCAAAACCCAACGCCTTCATCTCCTCGATTTTGCAGCCCTATAAGATTCCGTCTTATAAAAGAAAATAAGGATGTCACAGAAGACGAAATAAATTACGTGAAGAAATCTGCGAAGTCGCTTAACACTACAGAAGTTGACTTAAATGGAAATAAGTTTTCAGTTATTCATGTTTTCATTATGACAATGGTAGATGGCAAGGTCTGCCACTGGTACAACATCTACAAGTAGATGCTACATATGTGGTGCAACTTCTAAGGACTTCAACAAGATTGATGTGCAAAAAGAAGTAAATCCAGAGGATATAGAATTGGACTTTCGGTTCTACATGCCAGAATAAGACTTTTCGAAAGTGTTCTCCACTTGGCTTATAAATTGCCAGTGAAGAAATATAGAGAGAGAAAAACTGAAGCAGAAAAAAATATAGAAATATAAATAACTCGAAATCCAGAAACGGTTTCGCCAAGAAACGGGTCTATTAGTGGATATACCGAACTCAAATTTTGGAAATACCAATGATGGTAACACGAGCCGAAGATTTTTTGAAGACCCGATATAGGTTTCTGATATAACGGGCATTAGTTACGATTTAATATTCCGATTAAAGGTTATACTTGAAGCAATTTCGAGCGGGCATATCATTGATTCAGCCAAATACGACAAATACGCTTTAGACAGCTCGTTTATACGTGCAGTTATACCCTTGGCACCCAATGAGTCCAACAATGCACAAGATACTTGTTCATGGCGCTGTTATTAAAAAAACGCGTTATTGCCATGGGCAGCTTTCGGAAGAGGCCGCACGCACGCAAGCACGCAACAAACATTTTAGGTCGTACCGCCAAAATTTTGCGCGTAATTTTTCAAGAGAAACAGAGTTTGTAACAGAGACATTTTTAATAGGCTACTCCTAACATCAAATCCTCTTATAAGTAGCTTGAGGAGTGTAACAAAAAAAAGGGTGAAGTGCTGTTTGCCAGAAACAATGGAACTTCTCATGCCTGTGAAGCCCAATCTTGTAAATGATTTTTCAGAGAGTGACGAAGATAGTCATTAGTCATTTTAATATTTCTTTATATGTATGTATGTAGTAAAAATATACAATAAACCAGTTTTATAATTAAAACTACTTTTTTTTTTAAACTATAACCTTTTGAATAGATATAGCATATAAAATCATTTTGGCCGCGTAGATCGTTCAAATACCCATATGTGCGCCGCATCGCCATGTTTTTGGTCAAATTTTACGATTAGTGATGATCACTTGATGTGACACAGTTCTCGATTCTGATCGTACTAAGAAACAAAGGGATGATAATTCTTAAGACCGTACAAACTGTTATAAAAATATTCTATAAAGTTTGTTGTTTTTGTCATTTGTTTTCCGGAGGTACTTTTTTTTCAAAACGTGTATTTAACTAATTCTCTTATTGTGGTAATATTTTACGACGTTAATGGATTGTTATGGATTCTTAAAATCAAGAAATACTTAAAATCATTACACTAAATAAGTGCTGCATCCGTGTCTTCGATTTAATCAATCGCTTTAATGCCGCAGGTTTCCCATCATTAAACACATGCGCATGTGACGTCATCGGAGGTAGAAAAATGTGACACGCTTGTTTTTAATACAGATCGCGGTACTTGGGGTGTCTATTTAGATGTCTGTAGGTGACAAGTTAAAATTAACCTTTGTTTCGTGGCGGGGTGGTAAGTAACACACTGTAGTGTTTTCTTAATAAAATATTTGGTATATCGTCGGGGATAGTGCAAATCCGCGCACATAGTATTGTTAAAGGCGCGTAAGTGCACTAAACAAATTTTACAGGAAAGGGATTTAACGTTATTACTTTGTTATTTCAATGGCTATAACTTTGATTTTTACACAGTAAACACTAATTTATGTTGTCTACGGACTGATAACAATAGAATCCCGTAAATCACGCTAATTTGGTTGCCACGACATTTACGCGGATTTGATTTGGCCACTAAATGACCGAAATGGCAACTCATAGTCCAATGTTAGGTACGCGTTATTGTACTATCCACGACGATATGTATCTTATTCGCTTACATTGATGTCATTTTGTAGGCTCACCCTTTATTGATATCAATATTACTTACCGACCTTTGTTACTCATTCACAATATGCAGTGCATTTAAACAACATACAATTTTAAATTTAGATTATCTGGCTGCCATGCCTTCAAATGTTCATAACCTCTATGCCAACAATCGATGCCTGACGAATCTAAATTTTGACAAAACAAGATTCTAGACATTAAATTTAAACATATATACAAAAAACATTTTGAATTATGCTATAATGTTTAACGTCTCCAATATACACGATTTTGGGATTAATATACGGCGAATATTGGTAATACATATTATCTTACTTATAAAAAGTGAACGAGAATTTGTATCGGGCGTAAGGGCAAGTAGACCGAAAATCTATGCACTGCAATCTCTAGACATGATTCTGAACTCAAAATCTTTAGAAATGTATTCAATTTAATCATGTGAAAAAACAAAGTATCCTTAGTACAACTAACCAATAAGGTAAAACGAGCTATAAGTAAACGACGCTTTCATATTAGAAGTCTTTGTAATTGTCGATCGAATATATTACCTAAAAATAAAGACGAAACGTTATTTAATTTGTTTGAAAACTATTCTGCCAAATCATTACGGTGACAACTGCGCGACGATTGACCAGCCCGAATTCGAAACCATTGACAGGCGTCGTCAATTGTTTTAGTTCAAATCGAACAGTTTAACTTGAGCTTTGCTATAATGGACGAAAATAGAAAACTTACATTTTGTTGAATAACGTCAATTGACATTTCGTGTCTATTTCTGGTTATATTCTCGATGCAGTATGTACACGCAAAAGATTTAGCTTATCTTTAAAATGACCGACTCACGTAGATACGTTGAGATTAAAGACACACCAACGTTTTAAAAAAAATGCCTGGGAAATAAGTCAATAGTCGGCCACAGCTAGTACACAAACAGTTGAGATATGTGTTTGTATAAATTGTATGGTGAGTTATCCCTTACGCCAGACACACAATCTACGTCTAATCACTGTTTCAATTGACTACAACAGTGCATTATAACACACACATATAAATATTTGAGCATCTTACATTATAATGCACACAAACTCACTCGATGTAATCAGTTTCTTGTTTGTAATTGACCATACCGGGTGATTATCGATGCATAGAACGCATGTGATCAGCAGCTATAACTGTGCAAAAAGAGTATTTTAAATGGGGATATTTTCGTCATAAAAATACTAATCAACGAGAATGTAATTCCAAACAGAATGCCAACTATTAAATATCATGAAGAATGCTTATAAGTAATGCTAATTACGGCCAACTTTTTAAAAATTTACACATTCGTGTTAAAACGTGTGTAGCAACGAATGTGTGAACGGGACACGCTACGTAACTCGCCTCGCCCCTCGCAGATTTTTGGTACGAGCTAAAGCAACGCGTGACGATATGAACCGAAAACGTCGTCCATTGTGGTAAGTTGATGCAAAACAGACTACACGCATAGTATAATAAGACCAATTATTGTGTATCTCCCGCCCGTTCCGGGTGTCAATCGTTCGGAGTCTAGGGTTGTCACATAATTAATTTTGGTTGTACCCTACAAGTTGTAAACATAATATGAAAAAATAAGGTATTCATCGGCTTTCTCGTGCTATATTGAAATGCAGTGCTTACTAATGTTTATACCAGTATCGTTCGCGGTTTAGTTTTCTGATTATGTGAGAATGATCATGAAATATAAATTGTATTCGAGTTCGCATATGCATAACAATACATTTATAAATAAAAAAATACATTTGACACAAAAAAATATAAGGGTTTTTAAAAACCGAGCGCATGCTTCAATTCTATAATGAATGGCGTGTGCGACTCGCGCTGTGCAACTCGAGTGCACAGTGAGATTATGCGAATGAGCGAAGCCGCGCCAATACATTTGTGTGGAGTTACCATAATAGTCATATTATACTATGACCACGCGCATGTTTTCATGGCAGTTTGAATTGGTGGGAGACCGCGTACGTTTACTCGAAAATCTCGTCGAGTGACGATATGAGACGGCGAGTATAGGCGATTGTGTAACATCGTAATACACGAATACTCTACTAATACACGAATTACTACTCCTTAAACTTTGGGAATTAAAAGAGGATTGTGCATGTGAATCCAGCCAGTAACAAACGTCACAATCACAAGTGAGTCTTTGCTTTTGGAAGTCCTGCATTTCTATTGCGCTAGTTCTGATCAATGGTTATGAATATGATGTCACCAAAGTACAATGAGAGCGACAAGTGAAGTGTTCATCGGTTTCGTTTTCCAGTCATCAGTCGATTACGTTCCATTCAGTAAGGTATTAACTTCATTCATGACATGCCTTCTTATTTATCTATATTGCTTCTACGACATACAGTGATTAATAAATAAGTGATTATATACGCAATATTATAGTGCACGCGACTATGAAGTTTGCCAGTCAAATTGTAAGGAGTATTGTATAAAATGCATGAGCATTTCAAATTTTGACTTTAACTATTTAGATTAGTTTGAGCCAAAAAACAATTAATGCATTCTACACCTAGATCATGCGCGTGCACTACACTTGTGTTACTTATATTATGGCATAGATATCTACTGAACACTCGCGTATCTTTTACAACTTCACAAGCAAGGTAAAAGATATGAACGATTACGTTTTATGATATAGATTTTTTTAGTGTTTTAAGAGTCAGTTAGATGGATTTACAAACAAAACTTCACGAAATACGGCCTTGACCATATCTACTGTAAAGCGGAACTCTGTAGTGACCACGAAGTGAACACACATAAGAAAAAAAATTACCATCTAGCCATTGACTTACAATTATATGGACGTCGGGTCCGCGCTAAAAAGTATCCGAACTTATAGGGCGTTAAAATCGTATACAGAGCGTCATTCACGCTTTAGTTTTCGTTTGTTCGACTGACAGCGCAGCAAGCACAATTAGACAGTACTGCGATGACATTACAATTTAAATTCAACGTTTTAGCTTTTTCATATTCCTTTACATGTCACTACGTTTAAATAGGTTGACTTGGGATATTTTTTTCGTGGTTTTTGTATTAGACCCGTCGTCCATTTATTTGTAAGTCAATGCATCTAGCAAAAGATTTATATTAAATTTTTATTGAATGTCAGAAAGTTTCACCACCTTGACATTGTGACGTCAACAACGTACAACATTCATTTTTTTGTGAAATCACTGCACTAGTTTGTTATAATTATTAATACAAAGATTACGAACACTTAGAAAAAATTCCTTCGATCCGGCCGGATTCGAACCGACGTCTCCTAGCAAACCATGTCAGACGCTATGCCAATTAAGCCACGGAACGAACCAGCGCACCTCATGAATATTTCAGCGCTTGTTATCGGTTTTCAATCACTTTTTTTTATAGATTTCTCATAGATACAAAGATCCGACAACAAGCACAGAAAAATTCATGAGGTCGGCTGGTTCGTTAATGTACAACTTTGCATTCGTCACAATCATGTTATCGCAATAGCCAAGCGGCAAATCGTTGGCGATTTTACTGTCAACAACATGCTAAGATTTAAATTAAACTCTGTCTCTATAGAATGATCGCCAATTGAACGAATTGGAATCACGGATTATCATACAAGGGATAATTCCGAGGTATTCACAATAAATAGAGCCAAGATGACCTTTGATTGACTATTTGCCACTTAGAGTGGTTACACACGGTGACTTTTAGCAGCGACTCAAGCGGTGATATTAATTTACAATTAATAAAAAAATTAAAAAATATATTAAATAAATAAATTAGTTAATTAATTTAAAACGTGCATCGCGTTTGCATCGCGTATGCATCGCGTTTGCATCGCGTTTGCATCGCGTATGCATCGCGTATGCATCGCGTATGCATCGCGTATGC